AAGAGACACAGTTACTAGGTATTTATGCTATGTTAACATACATATTAATTACATTTGCAAGAAATGCTTATCATAGTAATGGTTTTTCCGAGAACTCATTAATATATAGTAATGTTCGTCGCACATGTTTTCTTGGCGTCTCTCGGCGGGTTCTTCAGATTATCCTGCAGCCTCCTTATCTCTGTAGTTTGCATACCTGTTCTCCCAAGGCCCAGGCGCCTAAAGGGATTATTCAGGAGTCCCTTGTCTTGCAACCGTCCTAATATTCACAAAGAACCAAGACTTGTTTCTGACCACCTGAAGTGATAACATCCCCTACATGTTACATTTGTTACATTTACAGTTATCACTGGGATCAAGGCATTGTGTCTTACCTGAGTTCTGTAAGGTAGGTGTAGAGTTCAAGTACAAGAACTCTGCCACTTAAGAGATGTGTTCTTGGAAAGACTTAAAAAGTACTGAAGACAAGCAGCAACCACATCCTATTTTGCAGTCCTTTGACTCTCTCCACAGTTCCTATGAAACTCAAGATTTAATTTATATTCTGAGTATGTATGGAAGACACCACCTAATGTGTTCACAGACAGTGATACTATGGTGCATTTTCAGTGCAATTACATCTGGTTTTCTAGATGTGAAATTTACTTTAATGAAGTGCTACAATCATCCTGAGTTCAGAGTTACCTGTTAAGAGTTTTGGTAGAGTAGCAGATGCCCATACAGGCCAAGAGGGCTGCAGGAGATACCACACATCTCCTAAGTTTGAATCAGTTTTTGGCTGCTGCTGATTCTGTGATACAAGCATGCAAGCTAAAGAAAATTACTGTAAATTAATTCCTGTGGGTTTTGTGTTAAAAATATTTTATCCTGATTTCATGCTGTTTCTGGACTATTACCCCACCTATGCATTAATTTTCTGTCTCTTTAATTCTGTATATGTACTAAGACAGTATTTTCATGTCTTCTGTAGCAATACAGAACCGTTGGATTTAGAGGGATCATTTCTACACTCTTTTCCTTTACTTGGGAAAGAAGAAATTTCTTCCTGTTACTCAGCTTACTGAGAGGTCTTCATGGTATTGATAAGAGTGATCACCTTTATACAGCTTCAGTAGCTTCAGATAATACTGGAGTCATCGCCTTCCACTTACATTTAAGTGGAACAAGACATATGCAATTACGCAGTAAAGAAATTGCTTGATGAGCCAGTTTTATTAACTTAAAAGGATGGTGCCAAGATCTTTACAAATTTGCAATGGAAATATTTTCATTTTAAATATTATTCCGGTGTGCACATGATCCAGAGAGGGCAAGGTATGCAACTTGGGAGATTTTTTTCTTTTAAAAAACATAACAACAACAACAAAAAACCCTAAAAAAACAAAACGCAAGCATAATCAGTGGTGAAAATGCCATTTGTTCAGTTTTAGTAATCCTGTAATTAAGAGCCATAGCTACAGAAACTGTTTTTAAAAGAAGGTAACAAAGGCCCATTAAATTAATTTACAGCTTTGTTAAGGAATTGAGTTGTAACATTCCAAAGCTTTTTAAATTGAGAGTCCCTCTATTAAAAAGCGTTAAAGCTGCATTAATGGTAGACTGTGCAATTGAATACTACTACCAAATACCTGAATTGTGTTCTATATTTGCATATGAGTGGTGCTTAATAAAACTGTTAATACAAGTGGGTGATCCATACCCTTTCATTAACTATTATCAGGAGATTTATTAGCTAAAATACCAGTGACTTGTACTGATGTGATTAGACATAACTGCAGTAGGCCAGAACTGTTGTGTAAGCTTAAAACTGGAGGTAAGTCAGGTTTTTGTATTTTACCCAAACCAATGCTTGAGTATCACGGTTATCAAATGTATCTAATAAGACTATGCAGTAACAGTAAATTTATTCAAGGGCAGCCCAGTAATTGAGAAAATCAGCCTTCAGTAGCCCAAAACAAGCATGCATTTATCTGACAGATGACAAAATATACCCCAGCTTTTGAAGGAACACACAATACAATCATTCTGTACCGAACCAATTCAGAGCATCTTCATAAAGCCTGCAGTTGAATAGGTCTGTGCAAGATACCAGGAAACTCTTGACTGAATTCTCTCCTGTTTTCTTTTTTCTAAGCCACCTGGAGGGGATCTCTGTCTTCCTCAGACACAATTATGTTGACTTTGTTCTGTAGGTGGAGAGCTAGCATGTCACGCAACTCAGACAGGAAGCCTCGCTCAGTGTTACTATGCTCACACAGAATAACGCTTATCCCATTGGCAACTGCATCCAGAACGTCATGGTGGGACATCTCTCCTGCCATTTTCAGAAAGAAATGCCATGTAGATCACTAACAGTACAGTTTAGGTAACCAGTTCCTTGCAATGTATGCAGAATCTTAGGTAGAAGCTGGGAAGACGTAATGGGATATAGCCCATAAGAGGGAATGCAACACCACCTGCTCTAAGAATATGGAACACTCCTAGCATCCCTTGAAGGACTTTCAGCTGATATCCCCCGTATACAACTGAGACAAAACCACAGAAATTCCTTGCCCTCTTTGAATAGTGGTAGATTCTGCACACTTTGGGCAGTGTGCAGAGTGGTTTGGAAATGGACTGTCTGCATGTCATGTGGATTGCTGTGATGGAGAATAGCAACTGGGAAGCCTTGCGAAGAAGCTGTCTGAGGGTCAGCTCTGCAGGGCTGTACGTAAGGGGGAGAGGGGATATGCCTTACCAAAGAACCTGCTCGAATTAAGTACTACAGAATGCAAGGCACCCTTCACGTTGTTGAGCAAGCTGTAGGGAGTAGCTGCCCCACTGTCGGAAAACAGGGTAATGGACTAAGTGTCCGTTTGGTCAGATACACTATGGGGTTCCTTTGGAAGATTCTGTAAACTATTATTATATTCCATTTACCATTAGGGAATTCTGCAGGGAACTGAGCAAGTACCTTCTATCTTGCCAAAGGAGAAACACACTGAAGGTTGCAATAGACTGCCCTTAACACTGATTTTGTGTTGAAATAATGCACGTATAGCAATGTTTTAATTCAAATAACCTTCACCATGCCACACAGCCATCTGATCCACAATACGTCTAATGTTACTCTTCTATCATTCCAATAACTAACTGACTGTTTCTCAGTTATAGCACGTAATTCTTTCTGGCCAAATCTTTCAACAGCCAGTCAACTCTTTTTTTTCCTTTTTTTTTTTTTCCCCTAGTGACTATTTCTATAAACATAATGAAACAGCAACATAATCTTTTACCTGTGAGATAGAGGTCAGCTTCCATTCCCTTCAGGATGCTGCTCCCAGAACCAGCACACAGAGCAGCTTTTTTCACTGGCGATTCTGCAGGATACAAGGTGCCACAGTTAAACTCCCTTCCCTCTGTTCAGCCCATATGTCAGTATTGCTATTAATTGTTTCACAATAACTACTACCTTGATTTTAGGGTTAATGTAAATTTGTTGGAGGAAGGGACACATCTGTCAGTTTCAAACAGCCATGGGCCTATAACATCTCTGATAATACAGCAAAATCTTCTGTGTAGCAAATAGATGCATAGATTTTTTTATTCAAGGGGTAGGAAAGTTTGCAGAAAACTACAGCATGGAGGCTGGCTGCTGGCTAGTTCTCTCCTGGTGAGGTGTTTAGTTAGGTTTCTGAACCCTTTAGTAGGTTGTTACTCTTTCCAGAACTCTCATGTTTCACCATCATTAGTTTTCCAACTAATGATGCTACTAAGGCAGCATTTTGCCTCTGAGATATACTGGCTCCTAACTTTTAGCTCTCAGAAGGCCAGTCTCAGTGCAAGCCGAGAGCTGCTCCATGCCATTAAAAATTTGCGTGTTTGCTATGATTGCTGACTCCAAGCTATTATATACATAACAGAGACAGGAATTTAATTCTTCATATGTATTACATTCACTATGGAGAGGGAACACACGACACAGAGTTTTCAAATTCTGTTAAGGTTTTACAGTATGTTGCCATGTAACTACTGTTGATTTGAGTCACATCACTACAATCCCACATCATAATGAGGGGCTTCAAAATAGTTTGCGGTATTTTAAGTGCAATGACTAGTATAAGAGACTTCTAATATGACTGCTGTCTCGTAAGTTCTCAAGAAATTTGCTCTCACAAGTTCTAGTAGCTGTTCTCCTTGAAGATTAGGATAGGTAACCGAGATAAGAGGACATCTGCTCTACATTTTACTAGTGACCCACTGTTCAAGCTAGGCTAGTTCACCTTCTTTGCCACTATTTCTCTAATGGTTACATGTTCATAAGCATACCATAAAGGGTCTTACTATTTTAAGGTGCTTTGAAATTTAACATTCAGTCACAAAAGGGAGTGTACAATGAAATGTACATTTACGTCTGATATCCTAGGGGGGGGAAAAAAAAAGTCCTTACACAAATTACAAAAAAGGATGCCTCATATTCAGCTGTCCCTTCTTCACAGTGACAAACCAGCATAATAACGTCCAATTAAAAATACATGAGAGTCTTTTTGCATGATTGTATCACGTAAATTCTAAAATACTGTTTCTTGTCTTTAACAGTGCTTCACACTACTTGGAAGTAAACCTATCCAAGGCAGCAGTATTTCACATGCTCATGCACACATGCTCCTAGTCTTCCTGGAGTACTCGTTCTAATGGATAGCTTTACTTGCAGGCCTGTTTACCTAGTGTCTTGCCCACTCCCACGGCTAAGCGGATGTAGGGTAATTTTAGGTGGCTTTTGATACGGTCAATTATGTCTGACAAGGAGGCTGGCTTGCTCAGTGTGCACAGACGTCCCATTCCAGTATGGGGAAGAAGAGGCTGAAAAGAAATTAAAATTACTGTGAGAAAGCTGACTCCAGAAGTTCGCACTGCTTTCCATGCTGTACAAAAATGAGTATATTGGGTATTCAGACAGAATGCCTCTGAACTTTACAAAAAAACATGTACGTGATGTTTTTGAATGTAACATACTAACTACACTAGCTATTGGAACTGATTTAAGAATTAGTACAGGCCACACAGCTATTTTGATTGTTTTGGAAAATGTTTATAGCTTCAAATCCCCACAGGCCAGCATTTCAGAGCACTGACAGGGTAGCACAGGAAACTTGTGATGCTACTGACTACTGGATTTCAGTGTTTAGGGCACTCAGCTCACACAAGCAATACATTCACTGGAAGTAATATATGATTTTATTACCTTCTGTAGTAAAAGAATCTCAGTCTTTTCATAAAGAAGGCTGTTCTGGGACAGTAATGCCACCACCTCCAACAGTGCTTTCTGAGAGCAGTTCAAACTGACTCGTGTTTGCTTCTCACCTTCAACCCTACGAAAAGATATGTTCAGTGCTAAGAAAGTAGATAAAATTTCAGCATTGTGTTAAATAAAATAAAGCTAGTCTATCCCAGTGGATATTCTACCACAGAGAAAGAAAAAAACAGCCTAGTCTAGTCTAGTCCACTCTCTTGGAAGAAACAGATACGGGATTTTAACTCAATTGTCCTTATCAAATTTCCTATTAATACTATTTTTTACCACCTCTAATCTATGTGATGCTACACTGAGTTGCTGTTACCATTTAGTATAACACAGATTGATCAGAAAACGATGATTATTGCTTAAGTTTCTAGTTGCTGAAAAAAAATAGCAGCAATGCACAGGGGAACAAAGTGATTACAACAGTAAAATACAATTCCAGCAACTTACTGTTTCAAACAACAGAAAGAATACAACATTAGAGAGCGCAGGAGATACCTGGCAGAGAGAGTAGTGAGACAGGAGATCTCCTGCATGTCTTTGATTTTGGACAGCACCGTGTCCAGATGCTCAGTGTTGTCTGCGCAGAATTCTACCCGGTGAGTGCCCTCAGCTGGATAGCTTGGCGCAGTTGATGGGTGCAGTGGGATGGATGTACAGGCACCTGAGAAAACAGTACAAGATTTCTGTTTCATAAAGCTGGATAAGTATCCTAATACTCATTTAGCACATATCCTAAAGAGATGCAACAAAAAGATACACCTGAATCCACTGATTGCACTTGAATCCATTTTCCCTGACCAGCACCGAGGTCTTCTTGCCCTATTGTCTCCATTAGGCACAGTCTATTTTAAGTGCAAAGAAGGTGATGGATATATATTATTTGTCATTCTTAATGCCATCCATTTTATCCTAAGAATTGTATAAAAGCAGAACAGCTTCCGGTTTGTAAACTGGGCTGGAAAAGACATAGCTGTTTTCATTTATGAGCCACACTACAGGAAAAAAAATCTAAATGAATTCCAGATACTTTAAGTCCTTTGCAGACAATGAGATCTTGCACTTTAGAAATTATAAGTGGTGATTTAAAGTCAGTGGTCTAAGCTTTGCAACCAGGACGGACAATAAATATGCTGCACCAGTTCCGACTACATCCAATACTACAGTCATGAATCTGAAAATGTCCTCCAGTATTTTTATCTGGTACACCAAGATAAATTCCCTAAGATATGTTTAGGATACTTAGAAGTACTAGAAGAATATTGGGGAAAAAATAAGTATTCAAATCACACCTGTAAAAGCTGGAAGGTAGGAAAATGAGGTAAGGTCCCCACATAAAATAACTGATGAATAATTTTAACTATTTTTGTTTGTTTTTAACAGAATCTTACCAAGTCCCTTTGTCAGCCAGTTATTGACTCCAAGAGGTATGGCATCGTATGCTGTATGCGGGGAGTAAATCCCGATTCTGTGCTCCAGGGCTCGGACCACCAGCCGTTCCTTCCAGGTCTTCCACGTTACCCGCTTGAGTGGTGTGAATATAGGAGGGTGGTAAGAAAGAATAAGGTCTGCCTTCTTCTGCACTGCCTCTTCCATCACCTCTTCAGTGAGATCGTTAGTGAGGAAAAGGGTGTTCACAGTATGGGGAGGACTTGGTTCCACCAGCAACCCCACATTGTCCCAGCTTTCAGCCAGAGAGAGGGATGCAAAGTCGTTCAGGGCAGAAACGAGCTCCCGGAGGTTCATGGGGTAGCGCGAGGGCGGGCGGCCCAAAGCACGGATGCAGTGGAGAGACCGGCGAACCAGCGGTGTGCCAGACAGCAGCATGCGGCTATCTGCAGAGGGGGCAAAAAAAGGCAGGAATAAGCCTAAGTAATTCACTGGCTGAGAAGAGCAGAGTTGAGAGCGTTCAGGCTGCGAACACCACCCCACGACGGGGAGGGGCGAAATGGGACCGGGACAGGCGGCCTCC